CTATCACAAGTTATGAATGCAAATATGAAATCATATGGCTCCTTTGATTTAAGTAACTGAAAGACACATACATAGAGGAGTTGGTAGCATAGAGGAAGGAACTGGGCATGATGTCATGAGCAGGGAGAGTTCCTGGAGGAGGCAATACCTGAGCCACATAGCACAAGGGCTGAGATCCTAAACCTTAACACTACGCTTTGCATGTCAGGTAATTTGGAACTACTTTCTTAACTTCCCCAAGCCTCAGTTGGGGTAGTAGTATCTGACAGTTTTCTTACTCCTTGGTTCTCAGGAAGTTGCTTTACCCTTTTTCCTCTCACTACCATCTTCTTCCCCTTTGCTGTCTATACATCTTAACCTAGGAGTTCTCAAGGATCCCTCTTAGGCCTCTATGCATTTCTGTTTACATTCTCTTCCTTGATTACCTCTTTATCAATCATCTAGCCCTCTGTCCTCTATCATCAATTTCTCCTACATTTCAACCTCATGCTGTAAGGTCTTCATGAAAACACCCTACCGTGACAGTTTAAACTCAAGAGGTATAAAGTGAGATTTGCTAATTCTTCCCTAAATTACCTTCTGACATGGCAATGTAAATGTCTTTTAAATTTGGTCACTAGTCACATGAACCAACTCCACAGCATGTAACCACCACCACCACCACAAAGATTCCAAACCTCTGAGTCATCATAACTTTTTTTTTTCTTGTTTCTTATCTAATCAGTGACCAAATTCTGTGAATTTCTTCCTTTGAAATATCTTTGGTGAGAGAAGTGGCTCTAATACTTGTGTAAGATGTTTTGTTTCAAAGGGGAAAATAGGACTTCTTTCTTCATAAAAATGTATTAAGTTTTGAATTTCAAAATTAAAGACATTTCTGTTCTCCAACCTTAAACGTCTAGGATAGGGTATGTTGCTCTTAGCTGCCATGGAATTAGGCCTCCTGGGGGCTCTTGCATGTGCCACTTCCATGATCATTTGAGGATCCAACAGTATTCCATTGTGATCTATAGGGTTTTCAGTAGCTAATTTATGAAGTAAATTGTCAGGCCTTTCTTATTTGTTATTTTGTTGTTAGGTGCCATCGAGTTGGTACTGACTCATAGTAACCCTATTCACAATAGCACGAAACACTGCCCAGTCCTGGGCCAACCTCACAATCATTGCTATATTTGAGCCCATTGCTGCTGCCACTATGTCAGCCTAACTCGTTGGGAGTCTTCCTCTTTTTCTCTGACCCTCCACTTTACCAAGCATGATATCCCTCTCCAGGGATTGGTCCTCCTGATAATATGTCCAAAGTTTAAACAACAAAGTCTGGCCATCCTGGCTTCCAACGAGCATTCTGGTGTACTTCTTCCAAATTGATTTTTTCTTTTGGTAATTCAAAAATTCATTTGATGGTCTCACAGGATTATACCTAATCATTCGCTAACTAACTTGGGGCTTTGTTTAGGCTCACTGCTGCTACAGGATATTATATGCAACTTCCAAATCAGTCATCCTATTGAAAATCTTCTGTGGCCCTCCAATATTTGTAAAGAGTGCAAAATGCAAAGAAGCCCTGTATTAAAAGCTCATCCAAATTTCTTCCTAATTTATCTCTCAGCCTTTTCTTCCATTGCTCCTATACCCTTCCTAAACTGTTTAACTATATTCTTTGAATCAACTGACCTTTTCTGACTTCAAATCTGTACTCATACCATTCTTTTTTCTTTCTTTCCTCTATTTTGTGGGTACAAATTTGCCATATTTAGCTCAATCACTAGGCTGTGAGCCTCCTTACCCAATTTCTGCATTCCTTTCTGTCTTTTACCCATGCTACTTAATGTGGTATTCTCAAAGCATTTATAACATAAATCTTCCCTATTATAGATCTTTTGACACAAGTATTGGCATTTTCTCAATATATGTCTAAGTTCTAAAAAAATAAAACCCAAACCCACTACCACTGAGTCAAGTCCAACTCATAGTGCCCCTTGTAGGACAGAGTAGACCTGCCCCATAAGGTTTCTGAGGCTGAATTCTTTATGGGAGCAGACAGCTTCATCTTTCTTCTGCAGCGCAGCTGGTAGGTTTGAACTGCTGGCTTTGTGGTTACCAGCCCATTATGCTGCCAGGTTCCTTTTCTGAGTACTAATTGCCCCCTGATTTATTAGTTATTCCTAGTAGAATCATCAAATCAAGGGCTGGATAATAAATCAACAACAACTATGGTTCTTAAGAGAAGAATGAGAGCCGTGATCTCCGTTTCTGTCAAAATCATCAACATATTTTGGATTTTCTGGCCTGGCCACTTGTTGTTGTTGTTGTTAAGTACTGTCAAGTCGGTTCCAACTCTTAGTGACCCTGTTTAGGGTTTCCGAGGAGTGACTGGTGGCTTTGAACTGCTGACTTTATGGCTCAAACTGACCTTGTGGTCTAGCGCATGATCCTGTGGTGCCTCTTATTAGCATCATGGATTTTGGTAAATTATTTTACCTCTTATCCTGCTTCCTCATCTGTGAAGTGTGGATAGTTATCTTCTCTTCATCAGGTTGTGTTGGAAATTTGATAAAATTTGTGTGAAGTGGTTGAAACAACAAACAGAGGCCATTCTTTAAAATTATCTTCAGAAAATCATACATTTTTGTCATTGACTTTTCTGAACAATACTTAGCTTTTATTGTAAAGCCCTTTTCTAAGGTGAGATAACACATATTGGATTGGCTTTCTTTTTTTCCCTTTCCACCCAGAATGTTGAAATGATTTGGATGATCATGTGTATATTACATAAGAGGTCACCCAGTTATTTCTTGTATGTAATAGTTCCTTTGAAACGCACACACACACAAAATTTATTACTAAGAACTGAGCAGTTGAGTTGGTGACTACTTAGGGTATTTAGTGTAGCTAAGCTGGATGCTAGAGACAATGTTCTCTGACTCTCTGCAGAGTTCATTGTTTTCAGTGGACAAAAGCTGTATTACATTCACTTAATGAACATTTATTTACAGAGCACTAAGAGGCCTCAGAGGTAAGTCTCTGGGAGTTTTGTGGCTGGTTTGGAACTTCTGTTTTTTTGTTTTTTTTTTTCATGATGCCACTTTGCCTTTCACGTGAATTATGTGCACCCACACAGGAATTAAGACTAGCTGTTTACGGTATCGTGGGGTGGAGAGGAGGGGAGGGTGGTGGTTCAGAGCATGAAAGAGTTTTAGGGGGAGTAAATGGAAGCCTGGTAGCACTTCTAAAATACTTCTGTGTTTTTAAACTCTGTACTTGTATATCACATATAAGGTAAAATGTAAGGTGATTTATTTAATATTGAATCCCAGTCATAGCAGATGATCTTAAAACTTCTCTTTCAAAGTAAAAAATATTTAATACTCTTAGGCTCAGTGAATGCCTAGAGGAGTTCTTTTCTGGAATCCCAATAGGATTGGGTCCAGAAATGGGTAACATAGGGTTTTAGCTCTATCAGAGGAAATGCTATTGCTGAAAACTACCCTCCCCCACTTGGGGTGTCACTGGACCCCGAAGTCGGTTTGCTTTTTAATTTCACTTGATCAGAATAAGGAGTCTAAGGACAAAGGAAATGTAGGCTAAGATACTAGTAATCAGACCCAGAAAAAATTATTTAGGGACGTGTGTTCTTGGGGTTACTCTTGATGAGGATGAATACCCAACTTTTCTAACAATGTCCTTTAGTGCTTTTGACAGGGGCAGATTTTTACTCTGACCCAAATCCATAAACCAAACTCACTGCTGTCAAATTGGTTTCGACTCACAGGGACCCTGTAGGACAGAGAAGAACTGCACCATGGGGTTTCCAAGGTTTAATATTGTCAATAGGAGAAGACCACATCATTCTTCCACAGAGCAGCTGGTGGGTGGGCTTAAATTGCCCACCTTCCCGTTAGTGTTCAAGTACTTTCACCACTGCACCATATGATTCGGTGGCTCGTAAACCTGGATGCACAGTGAAATTGCTGGAGAGGATTATATAATTCTGATGCCCGTGCCTTCCCCAGAGACGCTGATTTCATTTGTCTGGGGGCAGCTTGGGTATGTGGATTTTAAAAAAAACCTTCTGTGTGATTCTAAAATGTAGTCAGCCTTATAACCCACTGATCCTATTCTCAAGGTTCTATAACAAGCCTTCTTTAGCTTAAAACACAGTAGTTGGAGCGTTGGAGCCAACTAGAGGCACCTTGGAAAAAAGGCCTGTCAAGCTGTTCTAGCAACCTGTTGTGTTTGTTGTTAAGTTCCATCGAGTTGGTTCCTACTCACAGTAGCTACCCTGTATAAGGTTTCCGAGGAGTGACTGGTGAGCTTGAACTGCTGACACTGTGGTTCAGAATGACCCTACAGTCCAGCGCATTAACCAGCGCCGCACCAGGACTGCATTCTAGCAAAGCATTTCCCCAAAATCAATCATTGAAAACCCTATCTCACACAGTATTACTTGGACACACACATGAATCAGAATGGATTTCTATGGTAACTGTTTGTTGATATTGTTGTCTTTTTTTCATCTCTTCCTCTTTACACACAACTCTGAATTCTACTGCACAGATCTTTGGTCTTTGTGATGCTCAAAGCTGCAGGTCCACTTCAACTAGTTCAGATTCCAGGGAAGCAAATCGGTACCACTAGAACCTCTCTCCTCTCCTCTGTTGTCCTAGTTTTGTTTTTTCTTAAAAAGTATTTACATTTCTAGACTGCAGCTCATCTCAGCCCCACCCTAGCAGCGGAAAAAAAGCGTCCCTGCATGTTCCTTCCACCCAGTATCTCTCTTCTTAGGTCTAGAGTCCCAGAGGGCCAGTACCGCTAAAACTAACCCCTGTCCCGCCCAGAAGCAGGTCGCTGGTTGCGAAAACCGCTCTCCACCCTAGTCTCCTTCGCCCCACCCTTCTGGTGACTCAAAGGCGGCCCCGCCCAAAACATAAATTGAACTTGAGTGTAGAATTACTAGGCACTGCTGCTTACGGCTCCTGGTTCCAACTCTCTTGCTGCAGATGCCTCGGAGTCCCGGGGCTGGGTCCCGGCCCCCGCGCGATATGAGCCACACGCGGCCGAGCGCCCCCTCAGTATCGTACCTTCTAGAAGGGCTGACGCTGCTGTTCTTGTGCTCATCGGCCGTGTGGGGTGAGTTGGGGCCCGGACTCACCGTGCCGGTTAACCCTGAGACCATGTGGGAGGGGTTGGGTAAGTCTCCGTAACCCTTGAGAGGGGCTGGTGACCTGGGAAGTTGAGAAGTTTGTGCATCCGCAGTTGTTCCCCTAAAGGGACCCTGGTGTCTAAAGCGCTCAATTGCTAACCAAAAGATTGGCCATTTGACCCCACCAGCCCCTCCTGTTCAACCCACCGGCCACTCTTCTGGGAGAAAACTGTGGTTGTCTGCTTTTGAAGATTTATAACTTTGGAAACCTCATAGGGGAGTTCTACCTTGTCTCATAGGGTGGCTTAGAGTCGGATTCGACTTGACAGCAGTGGGTTTTGTTTTGTTTTGTTTGTTTGTTTGGTTTGGGTTTTAATTGCTCCAGCCATCTACCTTTAAGATTCAGGGCTCCTAGTGATATGATCCCAGGAGACAAGGAAACGTATCTCTGCTGCTTATCAGCACTTGGGGATCTTCCTATGCAGGACCCCAGTTGACAGGACTTTAAGGGTGAGACACGGTGGGTGGGGAAGCCCACATTGAGTTTGGGGAGCAAATATGGAAAAATGGGAAAGAAAGGACTCCTATTGAGTGAATTCTCCTTAAAAGCCCAACAGCAGGTGCTCCTTTAAAACAACGGAAGGCCAAATAAACAGTCCAATACAATTTTGCAAGTCTTCTCCTCAAGATATAACTTTTCAAGGGGATGTCTTTCTGTGTGTCTAGCAACAGTATCTAAGCGAACATGTGAAAAATTCCATCCCCTCCGCCCTTTTTTTTAATAATGAAAGGGAGTAAATAATTTGCTCTGGACTTGTTTTAGTCTTAAATCAATTAACAAGACACACAAGTTGTTGGTGAGTCCTTTCAGCCCTTGATGAAAATATTACATGTGCATCCAAAACCATCACTGCTTCCTTCATTCATTTTGGGAACGGAATGTTTCTATGAATTTGTTTCAATTCTGCTTTTTCCTCCCTAGGTGACTGCAGCCTTCCCCCAGATATACCTAATGCCCAACCATCTTTGGGAGGTGTTACAAGTTTTCCTGAAAAAAAGACCATAACATACAAGTGTAATGAAGGCTTTGTTAAAGTTCCTGGCAAACCAGACTCTGTGGTCTGTCTAAGCAATAAATGGTCAGACGTTGCAGAATTTTGTAATCGTAAGTCCTGTATTTCTTTTTTTAAAGTTATGGGAGTGGATATATCTTGTTAAGTTTATTTTTATACCTCTTCAGAGTGATTGGTAATTGATAGTTTTCAAGCATTATTAAGCCCCAGGGTGTACCTTGTTGGCACTTCACACTCCAGCTAATTGAAGGCATTACTTCCCGAAGTAGTCCTTCTTCATTAAGGGTTTTGTTCCTAACACTGTACCTCCTGAACAGACTAATAAAGACAGTAAACAATGGGTATTGTTTAGGGAGTAAATTATATATGAGTATATTTAGCAATTACCTTGAGACACATAGCATAGTTTATCTGTTTTCTTAAATTTCACTTTGCAAAGTAAAACTTACCAAACTGAATTCTGTGGTGGCATTTCAAAACGTCCTCTATATTTACTTCAAAAATCTATTATCATATGCATAGCTCTATGTTAGCTTTTAGAGTGAGGTGGCTTCACACAATAAGCACTGGACTGCGAACCATAAGGTCTACAGTTTGAGCCCACCTGCCCTCTCTAACGGAGAAAGATGAGGCCTTCTGCTCCATCGAAACCAGAAAGCCTTGGAAATCCTATTTTGGGTCACTATGCGTCAGAACTAACTTGAAGGGACTTAGCAACAACAACGTACTAGCTTTTGGGAGTGTGGTGGTTCTGCAGGATAAGAGGTGGATTGCTACCTATAAGTTTGTCAGTTCAAGCCCACCAGCCACTCCACAGGAGAAAGATAAGATTTTCTGCTCCTGTAAAAATTTACAGCCATGGAAACCCTACACAGAATCACTGTGAGTCAGAACCATCTTGATGGCACTTAACAATAACAAATTTTCTTTGAGATATACAGGTAAAGGTAGACTTGATGCCTGCCTTTGAATAACTTGAAAGAAGATACAGTTACTATAGACGCTATCATAGATAATTTTAGGAAATCAGGTATGAAATAGTCTTTAACTTTTTATTAACTTTTGTTTTTTCCTATCCATGATCAAAGGCAGGAGCATGAAGTAGATAACCCCTTTGCACATATGTGGGGTTTTATAGTTTACAGCTCTTCCATATATATTAACTTCACTTAATCTTTCAAATATCCCATGAAGTAAGCAGGGATTCTTGTCCGCATTTTACACAAGCTCTCAGAAGTTAAGTAACTTCCTTAAGATTGCTGAGTCCTATATGGGACAGCCAGGGTTCAAGCTTGGGTCTTTTGACTACAATACCAATGCCCTTTTCACTCTACTAGGCCTTTCTAAATTCATATGTGGTTAGCTTTTTACAATGTGTCAATACTTTTAGGTACACTGGAGTCCTGGTGTGGCACTATAGGATAAGCACTCGACCAACCCTAAGGTCAGTTTGAATCACAAGATCAGCGATTCAAACCCACCAGTAACTCTTCAGAAACCCTAAACAGGGTTGCTATGAGTCAGAACTGACTCAGTGGCACTTCACAACACAACAACAATTTATCCATTGTCTTCATAGAGTTGTTGTGGGGAATTAAATAATAATAACTAATATATATTGAAGGAGCTCTGGTAGTGTAGTGGTTACGAATTGGGTTGCTAACCTCGGGGTCAGCAGTTCGAAACTACCAGCTGTTCCGCGAGAGAAAGATGAGGCTTTCTGTTCTAGTAAAGATTTACAGCCTCGGAAACGCTGTACAGGGTCGCTATGAGTCGTAACCGACTCCACAGTACTTAACAACAACAATATATATTGAGGAGTCCTGGTATGGTGCTGTGGGTTAATGCACCATACTGCAGAGCCATTTGAACTGAATGGTCGATGGTTCCAGCTCACCAGCGGCCTCTCGGAAACCCTATATAGGGTTGCTATGGGTCAAAATTGACTCGATGGCACTTAACAAGAAACAACAACAATATATATTGAATTCTTCAAGATGTTTTATAAATATAAACTTAGCCTTCTTGGAGTAGTGGGTTACACATTGGAGGCGAGGTCAGCAGTTCGAATCCACCAACTGTGGAAACCCTATGGGCTAGTTCTGCTTTATCCTATAGGGTCACTATGGGCTTGAATCAACTCGATGACTGTTGATGTTGTTAAATGCCATTGAGTCGGTTCTGACTCATAGCGACCCCGTATAGGGTTTCTGAGGAGCTGCTGGTGAGTTTGAACCACTGACATTGTTGTTCACACAGGCCTTACTGTGGGTTTGGATTATTATTACTATTATTTTGTTGTTGTTGTTTAACATTTTTAACCAAATCGATTGATGTAGAGTTGATTTCTTGGGGCCTGGGAATATTAGCTCTCATCTGTCCCTGTACCAATGTATAGTTGCTTATGGCAGGGTAAGGGGACTACCATTTACTGAGTGTCAGAATTATACCAAGCAATATGCCCTGGTAATTAAATCATTTATCTGGGCTATATTATCTGAAAAGTGGGGATTGTAACATCTATATACCCAATCTACTTCACAGGTCTCTGTTTTTTGTTAAGTGCCATCGAGTTAGTTCTGACTCATAGCGAGCCTGTATAAGGTTTCCAAGGAGCTGCTGGTGAGCTTGAACCACCAACCTTGTGGTTCAAACCAACTCATGGTCAAGTTCTTATCCTGCAGCGCCATACCAGGACTCCACAGGTCCCTAGTGCCTAGGAAGTGAAAGTGTGCATGTGAATACTCTTACCAAATAGGTACAGATAATTAGAGAAGAAGCGGGTATTTAGAGACCAGGGAATTGAACATATTACAAAATGAGGTGATGCTATTTTTTGTTGTTACTTTTGCTATTACATTTTAGGTAGCTGTGATGTTCCAACCAGGCTACTCTTTGCATCCCTCAAAAAGGCATACAGCAAACAGAATTACTTCCCAGCTGGTTCCACCGTGGAATACGAGTGTCGTTTGGGTTACAAAAGAGACCACTCTCTATCTGGAAAACTAACTTGCCTTCAGGATTTCATATGGTCCAAACCTGCTGAATTTTGTAAAAGTGAGTATGAGTTTTAGAGTACTTTTAATATAGTGTTTTGTAGAAATTGTGTCTTCTTCCCTCATTCCAGCTGGAATTCAGTGTGCGTATGTTATTATTTAGAATGATTGTTAAAAGAACCACTGTTGTTGTTAAAATGCCTTCAAGTTGATTCCAACTCATAGCGATAGAGTTTCCAAGGCTTTTTTTTTAAATCTTTGCAGGAGCAAAAAGCATCCTCTTTTCCCTCAGAGTGGCTAGAGGGCTTGAACTGTAGACCTATGGTTTGCAGTCCTGAAAAGACCCTTATTTTAAATTAGGCAGATTTCAGTGTTGGTGAAATAGGGCTCTTCACTCACAGGTTTCACATCAAATGAAATTCAGACCACCAGATGGCGCCGTGGTTTAGTGCTTAGCTGATAATTAAATGTTGGCAGTTCTAACCCACCAGCCTGAGAAAGATATGCTGTTGTTGTTGTTATGTGCTAGCAAGTTGGTTCCGACCCATAGCGACCCTGTTTAGGGTTTCTAAGAAGCAGCTGGTGAGCTTGAACCACCAACCTTGCAGTTCAAATCTCTGCAGTCTGACGCATTAGCCCATAGCACCACACCAAGACTCCAATATACGACCTTGAAAATCCTATGGGCAATTGTACTCTACCCTACAGGATAACTATGAGGTGGAATCAACGCTATACATCAATGGATTTGAGTTCAATGAAATAAGTATATAAGGAGCTCTGGTAGCGTAGTGGTTACGGATCGGGCTGCAAACCTCAAGGTCACCAGTTTGAAACTACCAGCTGTTCCGCAGGAGAAAGATGAGGCCTTTTGCTCCTGTAAAGATTTACAGCCTCAGAAACCCTGTACAGGGTCACTATGAGTCGGAACCGACTCCACGGCACATAACCATCACCACCATGTATTCCAAAAAAGTGTTGCTATTCTAAAAAAAAAAGAAGGCATCTATCTTTCTGCATGAATAGCAATAGAGTCTTCATGGATACTTAATACATTTCTAGAATGAAGGTAGAATAAAGACATCTACGTGTAAGAAATATAACAGTGTAGATGATTATTATGCATTACGTACCTTAAAGTTAAATGACAAAATAAATGTGTTTATGTTCTCTTTTAGAAAAAGCATGTCCTCAACCTGAAGAGATAAAAAATGGTCATGTCAATATAACAACAGACATATTATTTGGCTCACCCATATTCTTCTCATGTAACACAGGGTAAGTTGTGGCATAGGGAACACTCTGTACTTAACAAAGGAAAATATAATTAGGATTTAACACACATAGTGTTTATAAGGAGTCCTGGTGTGGCGCTGTGGGTTAATGCGCTGAGCTGCAAAGTCAGTTTGAACCACAACGTCGGTGGTTCAAGTTCACCAGCCGCTCCTCAGAAATTCTATACAGGGTCACTATGAGACACAACCAACTTGACGGCACTTAACAATAACAACAACAAAGTGTTTATAAGTTTATAGGAACTAAAGCCACCCCTCTCATCAAAATTCCTATAACATGAACTCATCACACATAAACTTAGTTAAGTGAGGCAAGAAACATTTTTTTAAAGAGAGAGAGACAAAAGAAAAAACAAAAGTAAAATAAGCCCAACACATTAAAAAAAAAAGATTTCTTATATCACTAAATTGTCTCAATTCTTACATTTCAATACATAGGCAATTCATTATAAAATTTCAGATGTTGAATAATAAAGGAAAAAATTCAACAAGCGATGTGTTGAATATGTATGTAGAAATTACAACCATTAAGATTTAAACATGAAATCTATCTTTAATTTAACTCAATAATGAATTTGCATATGGCTTTTTCTACATACCAACTGTCATAAAAAGTCCTTGGTTAAAAGCATTTATCTAGTGTGCTAATATTCTTACCTAAAGTACTTTCTAAATTCTTTAAGTTGGGAAAGGAACCCTCTCCTTAAGCATCAACCATGACATCCAGACACTGCTGGAAGCTTTACATTCATTTTTTCATTTAGTTACTGCATATTTAATTATGCTGTCTTATTCTCTCTGTGTGTGCGTCCCTGTTTTTATAAAATGAATACATCTGCATCATTCCTCTCCTGTACTATGCATAGATGTTTGCCTTATTAATGCAGACTTTGAAGACTGTCTTGAAGCCTTTAAATATAAATTGATCCTGTTGTTCTCTGAGGATTGTATTGATCTTTTGGTACTTAAAAATGTAAAAATTCAAGCATATGTATTATAGTGTTTTAAAGCACTTATGTGTTTTTAATATGTGCCACTGTAAGATAAGCAGTACTGCTAACCGAAAGATCGGTGATTCAAACCCACCAGAATGCTCCTTATAAGTGAGGTTGTTGTTGTTGTTAAGTGTTGTTGAGTCGGTTCCGACCCATAGCGACCCTGTACAAGGTTTCCGAGGGTGTAAATCTTTACAGGAGTAGAAAGCCTCATCTTTCTCCCGTGGAGCAGCTGGTAGTTTCGAACCGCTGACCTTAAGGTTCACAGCCCGAGTCGTAACCACTACGCTACCAGAGCTCCCTGTGCTGTGTAGTTGGTTCCAACTCATAGTAACCCTGTATAGGGTTTCCGAGGATAAAAATCTTTATGGGAGTAGAAACCCTCATTTTTCTCCTGCAGAGTAGCAGGTGGACTCGAACTGCTGACCTTGTGGTTCGCAGCCCAGCTCTTAATCTACTACACTACCAGAGCTCCTTTGGAAACCCAATATAGGGCACTTGCGGAGTCCTGGTGTGGTGCTGTGGGTTAATGTGCTGGACTGCAAAGTTGGTTTGAACTGCAAAGTCGGCGGTTCAAACTCACCAGCCTCTCCTTGAAAACCCTATACAGGGTCGTTCTGAGTCAGAACCGACTTGATGGCACTTAACAACAAGAAGTTCAGTGCAAATAAAAATGTTTTTATATGTTGTATATGTTTTTATCTTGTGAGTATCACTTTTTTTTTTTTTTTAAGGTTTTTATTGTGGATTGAGTGAAAGTTTAGAGGGCAGATCATCAGTTTTACATTCAACAAATCATACACCGTGTTTCATTACAATGATTATAATCCCTTTAACGTACTGTCAGTTAACAGTATTTCTCGCTATCCATTTTAGCTTTTTTTAAAAAAAAACAACACTCAAGCATATATAATAATTTACATCTCCAATGGGCATATTCTGCAAGTCTGCTACTTGGCCACCAACTCTTAGCCTCTCTCTTCCCATTAATCTAGAGTCCTCAGCCGCTGAGTATTACCTTTTTAAATTTAATTTTTTTTTCAATTTCCTTTTAACCTTGTAACCATTTATTTGACAGTGATTTGTCCCCATCTACTGGTATAGTAAATAGTTTAAGGTGGTATGCTGAAGAACTTGAGGGAATGTATTCGGATGGAACAATTTTTTATCTCTTTTTCTCCTCCTATTGCTTTAGGTACACATTAGTTGGTGCAACTTCTAGTTTCTGTTCTCTTGTGGGAAAAAATATTGGATGGAGTGACCCACTGCCAAAGTGCAAAGGTAAGACTTTTAAAAACTGAAGTTCTTGGGTTATGGAGTTAAATAACGAATGACACGTGACTTTCTGCTCATTTAGAATTATCCACAGTGAACAGTATTTGTAGTCCCTCACCTAGCAACGTGACTAGTTTATTAGATACTTTAAAGATATTTTTAGTGAAGTTCCTCCTTTTGGTAGATGTGACGATAAATCACCAAGCATTTATGAGCTTCAACATCCTTAACTATATGGTAAGGATTTTTTTTTTTTAACTTACATTTATATCATAGTGATCTTTTTTTATCTAACCATTCTTTCTAACAGTCAAGTAAGATATATATGGTATTTTTTTTCACAGTGTTATGGGTGAAAATACTATAAATCAGGGAATTTATTGACTTGAATCTGTAACTCAAACAACTGTTAAGAGAAGACATTCATTTAACCCGGGTCTCTTGCTTCGATTTCATCACTTTTTCTAAGAAAAATGTTGTCTACATGCCTCATTTTAGGCTTATTATGATTACCTGAGATAATTATTTTCAAGGATTTTGAAAGTAGGATATAGTTTTCTCCTTATAGGAGTACAGTTGGACATAATAAAGAAGAAATACGGTTTCTGCACTTGAGTATCTTGCCTTCTTAAGGGAAGAAAGGAAAACAGAAATAGTATCATAAGTGGATAAGTATCAAGCCAAACTCATGTCCATTAGAGATACATGGCTCATAAAACTTAAGAGTAAGATATGCATACCATCTTTAAATTCATGCTTCATTTCTACCATCCTTTTCTCTTCCTACATTTAACTTTCATTTCTGCAAGTGACTTCTAAAAAAGCATACTGTCAAACTCATTGCTAAGTTGAAGTTTTTGCAAGACAATAGAATAGATTTAGTGTACAGATATACCTTGTTTTATTGTGTTTCACATTACTGTGCATTGCATATACTGTGATTTTCACAAATTGGAGATTTGTGGCAATCTTGCCTTGAGCAGGTCTGTTGTTGTTATTCTTAAGTGCTGTCAAGGGGTTCCAATGCATAGCAACCCTGTATAGGGTTTCTAAGGAGTGGCTGATGAGCTTGAACTGCTTACCTTGTAGTTCAAACTAACCTTGCAGTCGAGTGCACTAGCGCTGCACCAGGGCTCTGAGCAAGTTTCTAGGCACCCTTTTTCCAACAACATCTGCTCACTTTGTGTCTCTGTTTCATACTTGGCTAATTCTCACAATAGTTCAAACTTTCTCAGAATGCATACTCGAAATTATCAAAAACTTCATTTTGTTTGCATCTACAATCAATGCTCATGGGAGCAGCATTCAAGAAATCAAGTGTTGTATGTCATTAGGCATATCTGATGCATGAAATGTCTTTAAAGTATTTAAGAACAAAGATGTGAGTTTGAGAACTCAGGTGCACTGACCCAAACCATGGTATTTTCAGATAGCCTTGTATACATGTGTAAGTTGTACAATGCATAAGGAAAACCATAGAAGAATCACTGGTTTTTGGAGCTTTGGTGTTGGAGAAGAATATTAAAAGTACCATGGATTTCCAGAAGAACATACACATTTAAATTTGTCTTGGAAGAAGTACAGCCAGAATGTTCCTTAGAAGCTAAGCTGGCAAGACTTCAGCTACTGTACTTTGGACAGATTGTCAGGAGTGATCCTAGAGAAGGACATCATGCTTGGAAAATTAAGGATCAGCAAAAAAGAGGAAGACCCATAACAAGATGGATCGAGACAGTGGCAACAAGAATGGGCTCTAACATAACTATTGTAAGAATGGTGCAGGACTGGGCGCTGTTTCATTCTGTTGTGTATAGAGTCACTATTAGATGGAACCAACTCGACGACACCTAACCACGACATTATTGCACACTTAATAGACTACAGTATGGTGTAACTATGATTTTTTTTTTTTTTTTTTTTTAGTGAAGCATTGGTTAGACTGACAATTGGCTTCATATAAGCAATAATGGAAACCAGGAGATAGTGGCATAATATATTTATTTGAGTGTTTTTGTTGTTGTTTTAGTTTCATGTGTGTGTGTGTGTGTGTGAATTGGATAAAGGTTTACAGAGCAGATCAATTTTCCATTCAACAATTCATGCACACTTTGTTTCATTTCATTGATTGCAATCTCCACAATGTAACATCACTTATTCTACTTCTCCTCCTCTAGGAGTAAGTATCCCTTTTATATATACTGTGAAGCCAAAAACTCCAAGTGACTCATTTCATTGCTGTATTTGCTTTATTGTAGTGGTCTGGAACCAAACCCTATATATCTTTGAGAATTTGCCTATAAGTCTTGTCTGTTGGTTTGCCGTGCTGTGGTGGTTTGCATAGTGCTATGATTCTGGAAGCTATGCCACAGGTATTTTAAATACCAGAAGGGTCACCCATGGTGGACAGGTTTCACATGAGCTTTCAGATTAAGACAGACTAGGAGGAAGGAGGGATAGACTACTTATGGATATTTAGTTATTGAAAACCTTATAAACAGCAGTGGAACACTGTCGGATAGCACCAGGATATTGAATATTCAAGCATGATGAAGAGCACTGAAATATTGTCAGATATAGTACCGGAAAAGCCCCTCAGCTTGGAAAGTACTCAAAATACAACTGGAGATGAGATATTTCCTCAAAGAGATTGTGATGATGCGAATGAAATAAAGCTTCCAGGACCTTTATTTGCTGATGGGGCACAACTCAAAATGAGGAGAAACAGCTGTAGACATCTACTGATAATCGGAGCACAGAATGTTCAGATATGAATCTAGGAAAAAAATGAAATGGAACATGTAGACATCGATATACTAG